CCGCGCGAGCTCGGCCATGGGCAGGACGTGGCCTGCACCGGGGCTCGCGAGCAGGACGACATGCGCGGCCGGTTTGTCCGGCGCTGGTGGTGCTGGCGCGCGTGCAGCCTCCCTTCCCATGAAGGCTGGAAGCAACGATTATCGATCAGTGAGATTGAAAGTGAGTCCCTGCCTTTTGGTCGTGGCTTGGCTGTAGCCTATAATATCCTTGGTGTTGTGCTGACGAGGTTGGTCTCATCGACCTTCTTCTTCTTCTTCTTCTTCTTCTTCTTCTTCTTCTTCTTCTTCTTCTTTTCTTTTTTTTTGGGACTTGCTTCTGTCTTTCATTATTGTGCTTGCTCAACAGCCAATTGTCTCTTGACAGTTGACACGTACAGCGGTACAGGCAAACCAGTCACTACAGAATACGTGGCTGGTTCGATTTCGTTCTCGAGACGGAAAAGATATGTGGCTCAGTTGCTTCTCGTGGGGAACCATCCAAATTAACTCATTTAGACTGAGCTATAAATCACATTGTTTTCATAGTTTATTGCACAGCGAAAGGTCTAAACATCGTGCACTACACGTATTACTACATATAAGAGAGTAAAATAAAATGCACCATGGAACACTGCAAGCAACGATTATGGATCAGTGAGATTGAGAGTGAGTAGTGGCTGAGTGCTACCTAATTTGGTAGTGGTCTGGTTGCAGCCACGCTACTCAATTTAAGTCCATCCTAGGATCTCAGTGTGCTTGCTCAACTGCCAATAATCTCTGACACGTAGAGGCAAACCACTCACTACTGAATGCGTTGTTGTTTGATTTTGCTCTCACGGAAATTCTGATGAATAGTTTTTTTTATTGATAAGTGATTTTGTACTGACTTTTTTCAAAGAGTAAAATGCACCACAAGTCCATTAACTTTTGGAGGGATGTCATCTGGGTCTATCAACTCTCAAAGTGCATTTTTAGGTCCATAAACTTTTGATGCAGTGCACTGCAGGTCCATAACAGTTCGAGGGCTTGATAAATTTTCATTTAACCCCCTCCCATCGATACCTCTTTCTCAAAACAGCCCCCACAATAGCCCGATCAATGGGCTAGCAGCCGCGTCAGGCCATCGACACCACCGCCGCGGCGGTCTCCCATGCCAGTGCAGCCACGCTGCCACGCGAGCACACAGTGGCTGCGCTGGGCAGCCATGTTGCCATTGGTCGAGCGGACGGACTGTCGCGCGAGGCCAAAAGCATGCCACGCCACCACGCGGGCGAGGTACGGAGCGGTACGTCGAGGCTTGGCTGCGCCCCAGGCTGGCTGGCCATGTGCTGCTCTCCCTAGCCGGCCTGCAGCAGCTCCTTCCCCCATCCCGTCGTGCACCTTCCACTTCCACTTAGCTTCTGCCGAAGACGAAGCCGACGCCTGCGCCGTCTAATTGGAACGAGCCTGCAGCATGCGCCCACGCATCCTCCCGGTCAAGCTCGGTCCCAAATCGCATGTGCACCGACGCCAATGTCGACATCCCGCGGCCCGCTCTATTTGACTCCTTCCGAGTGCTACATCGTGGTCTGGTGGATCTCCCAGATGTGGATGAACTGTCGGTAAGGTCGCGGGATGCTAATGCCATGCGGAGGCTGCTGACCTGCTGTCAATCTAATATTGCTGCTCCCATTTCTCGCTCATGGGCAACCGCTGGGACAGCATCACGAACAGCACGATGAAGTGCGCTAGGCCAACAGAGAAGAACATGGGTGCTATGATGCTATCGAGCATTGTGCCGACAAAGAATCCAGGCGGTGCGGCCACCCGCCCACACTCATGCGATGGCGGCATATGGCTGGTCTCGCGCGGCAGCACGCCCGCTCGACCACAACGCCAACGTGGCTGCCCAGCGCAGCCGCTGCGTGCTCGCGTGGTGGCGTGGCTGCACCAGCACGGGCGGGCGGCCGCTCACTCGTGCGGCGGTGGCGTGGTGGCCTGACACGGCTGCCAGTCCATTGACCAGGCTACTGTGGGGGCTGTATTGAGAAAGAGGTATCGATCGGATGTGGTTAAATGAAAATTTATCAATCTCTCGAACTGTTATGTACCTACAGTGCACTGCATCAAAAGTTTATGGACCAAAAAATGCATTTTAAGAGTTGATGGACCCAGATGACGTCCCTTCAAAAGTTAATGGATCTGTGGTGCATTTACTCTTTTTCAAATAGAATAGAGGATTGGAAGGTGAAAAAATAGTTTCTCTTGATTCACTTCATGTATAGAGTCATGGTATGCCCTAAAGAATCATTTCAAATAGGAAATCACTTTTATTAGAAAATCAACTTTCCCAGAAAATCTAGAGCAAGAGAAGCTCTAAAACATGTACTCAGTTGTTTGGGCAACTCCAATGCATAGGGCCAATCCTGGTCCTATAAAAAACGGTCATAATGCATAGAACCATAGGCTCGATCTATAAATGGGTGGGGGGGGCAGTAATAAGGGGACAATGAAAAGGACAAAAGAGAATCTATTGTTTATCTTATAGGACCATATTCAATGAAAAAAGCAGGTCCTCCATGGATTCATACCTACGGTGCAAAGAAATTGGTTCTGTCCATAAAGAAGCGGCTTAGTACCTCACATCGTGGGCGCATTGCACAAACATGCAACACTCCGCCGATGTCCCCGCATTCTTTGTGATATGTGTCACAGCAGGCCCCGTCTTCTTTGCGATATGTGTCACAACTGGTGCATGATGTCCATGTCTTATGTGTGATATGGGGTCATGTACGAACGTCTTATGTCCGTACAACTTTTTTTCATAAGATGTTCAAATAGAGAAAAACATGATTAGAGTTGGTCTATTTCAACTTGTTTGTTTTAGTACAAACGAAGCCATAGGAAGAAGTATGATTAGAAAAACTTGCAGAAAATCCTGTCAATTGGTTTATAGTTTGAACTTATTTTGACTATAAACAGCTTATAAGCTATACCAAATAGATGCGATATGGACCTTTTTGTTGTGCTTATTTCTCCCTTTTGTGTAAGAGTCGCTGTATCACTCACTGTACTCTAGATGTGGGTTGCAGAACATGGATAAATGCAAAGAGCAAATAAGTGTGGCGTGCCGCGTGCGAGCCCACATGTTGGCCCAGGAATGAACAGTCGTACCTTCGTCTTTTGCCTCGACTTCGCCTTCAGTCCCTCCTAACCTTGCTCTTAGAGCATCTCCAGCAAGGCCCTCAAAACAAGCCCCTAAAGTAAAATTTGAGAACTCGCATAAAAAACACTCGTCCAGAAGAGCCACTACTTGAGCCCTCAAAATCAGGACGCCCTCAAAACTGCCTCCACGGCTCTCATTCTCGCGCACATCTCCCCCAGGCATGAAATGGTGGTTGACAGGTTTATTACAGCTAAAATTTTTATTGGGATTGGGGGCTGAGGGGGCTCCATGGGCGCGGTCGTAGTAGGGGGGCTTGAGCCCCCCTAAACCCCTAGTGGAAAATCCGCCCTTGCATATAGCAAAAGGTGAGATGACAGTCGTCCTCTTCAGACTGCCTTTTCGTGACAATGAAATTTTCAGCTTGGATTTGTGATGACTATGCCAATGGTTATGGAAGCTGGACTTAAAAATATATTTTTCAAGCAATTAGTGATTTCTTTGTCGTGAATCTGCATTGCTATGGTATTTTTTCGACGTTCTTGCTTGGGACAAAATCAAATTACTATGGAAGGATGCGACTTCATGAAGGTGGGTACTGGAAGATGCTTGGTTGTGACTCATGTGAAATTCTCAGAGAATTATAGGATTTATTCACGAAGCCACTTTGTTAAAGGAATTGAAATAAAAATTTTGGTCATCATATACCATATATGTTTGGCCAATCTTTTGGTCCATATATTGCCACGCTTTCCATGTGGTTTCTTTAATTGGCATTGCCCTTTGGGCCCTTTACATTCAACCCATTAGGTTTTGAATGTACAAAATTGACTGATGACGGGTGGCCCAGGAATTATGAAGAAATTGCTATTTCACCGGACAGGAGCTGAAATCTTGGTGGGAAGGAGAGCAGGAACATCTAAAGTACTCAGGAAAAATGAGGCTTCTTGTTGAGTTGCCCTTAGGGGCATGTGCTCCCATCCCCACGGCTGTTGGATGTGCATGGGATGGGAGCACATGCCCTCAAGGGCATATTTAACTTTTCTGATAAGTTTGGCTCTACGTTTCTTTCTATACCAGTATTGGCTCGTTTATAACTTAAACATTACTTGAAACAAAGTCATCGTGGTAAGTTTTTCAAGTTGATTTCTTTTACTGTTTAAATATGTATTTTAATTCATGTAGGTGGTTGGTGGCCATTTATAGTTTTACAAATGTTGTCTTTCATATCAGGTATATTTAATTTCATGGCTTGTAATTGTGGTGTTATTAATTTGAATGAAGGTAAGCGACATTTTTTTTAAATTGTGAGGAAAACATGGGTCAATTCTTAGTATGCTAGTACTAGGGGCTGTTAGCAGTCACATATGTAGTTTCTGTCTACAGCTCTCTCCCCTAAATGCCTTTTAATTCTTTGGCTGATTGCAAATCTTGAAGCGATAGGTACCAGCCATCAGATGAGCAGACATCCTTAAAGATGCACAAATCTTGAAGCGATATGGATGAACAACACATCGTCTGAACAAAACACAAATTTCAGGCAACTGATAGATAGGAAATGTGAACGTGAATAAGATGCTACAATAGGATACAGCCAGGCTGCAGATCTACTACTCCTATGCAAATGGATCGAGCAGCCTCTTTATTGCGGAACGACTTCAGGGAACACAGGCCACGCACATAAGAGTAGACAAGCTGACGAAACAAACATAGAGACGTAGCACAAGGTGACGAGACAAAAACACATCTAACTTGAGTAACTTCTAACGACATGTCGCCACCGCGACCATGCAAGACATCACGCGCACATTATTGATGGATATGCACGTCATCACATACGCAATCTTCCACTTACGATCACCTAGCTAGCGACGACGGCCTAGCTAGCAGCTTTCTTCCACTTACCGACGACGGCCTGGAACGCACTGCGCGATGGTCCTTCCGGCCCCCAGGCCGCTGCCGCCGCCTCCCGGAGCTCACGCGCCTTCTCCCGCGCCGCGCCGCCCTTCGCCTCTACGATCAGCTCCGTCACCGCCGCCGCTACCTCCTCCCTCGATACAACCCCATCGTTTTCATTGCGGCTGTCCCTCGGCCGCACCGCGAGCGCGAGGCCCACCCGCTCAGACAGCATCACTGCGTTGACCCTCTGCTCGGCGTACAGCGGCCACGCCAGCATCGGCACGCCCGCGGCCACGGCCTCCAGCGTCGAGTTCCACCCGCAGTGCGACAGGAACCCGCTGATGGCCCGGTGGTTCAGGATCTCCACCTGCGGGACCCATTCCGTCACGGCGAGCCCGGTGCCTCTGCTTCTCTCGACGAACCCTTCCGGCAGGTATCCTAGCGGGCTGTCGCCGCCGTGGCCGTGGCCATGGCCGCCGCCAAAGAAGCTCGCGCAGCGGTCCTTGTCGCTAGGGAACCGCACCACCCACAGGAACCTCTGCCCGCTCGCCTCTAGCCCCGCTGCAAGCTCGGCCATCTGCTCGGTGGACAGCGTGCCGCCGCTGCCGAAGCACACGTACAGGACCGACCTGTCCGGCTGCTCGTCCAGCCACCGCAGGCATCTGTGCTCTTCTGCCTGAGCTTCGCCGCCGCCTGAGCACGTACGGACGAAGGGACCGACCGCGTAGGCCGGCGGGTACACGCCTCTGTCGGATAGCACGTTGAACGCGGCTATGGTCTCGTGCTCCATGGCGTCAAAGGTGTTGACGATGAACCCGTCGGCGAGAAGACACTTGTTGGCCAGTTCGACCACGAGGGAGTACACAGGGTCGGTGCGGTCCTGCAAAGGGTCGGCGAGGTCGGCGCCGCGCAGCGGCACGCAGCCTGGCAGTCGGACGGGCTCCGGCAGGTCGCGGAACTCGCAGGCGGTGGTCTTGTCGAGCTGCGGGATGTATATGATGGAGTGCATCGACGTTAGGTTTGACGTGTAGAACATGTAGCCCGGGATGCCGAGCTCCGCGGAGACCTCGAGCGCCCACGAGCCGAAGACGTCTGGAACGAACGCCGCCACGCCGGCCGGGGTGGCGAGCAGCGAGCGGAGGAGGCCGCGGATGTGCGGGAGCGCGCGCTTGATGACGGTCAGGATGCGGGTTTCGACGCGGGCGTCGGCGGGGAGGTCGACGAGCGGCACCTCGGGGAGCACGGCGGTGGAAACGGACGACGGGAGCGTGGTGAAGGAGTGCTCCGCCGCGGAGAAGTTGGTGTAGGTGACCAGCGTGGCCGTGAACTCGGCACCATCACCGTGCGTGACGACGCGCCGCGCGAGCTCGGCCATGGGCAGGACGTGGCCTGCACCGGGGCTCGCGAGCAGGACGACATGCGCGGCCGGTTTGTCCGGCGCTGGTGCTGGCGCGCGTGCAGCCTCCCTTCCCATGAAGGCTGGAAGCAACGATTATCGATCAGTGAGATTGAGAGGGAGTCCCTGCCTTTTGGTCGTGGCTTGGCTGTAGCTATGGATGAAAACGGTACGGATATTTATTTGATCGTCCGTTTGACCGAACAAATATGAACACTTATCTGGATAGTTACTCGGATATCCGTAATTTTTTTCGGATACGGATACTAAAACGGATATCTTAGGCGGATATCAAATACGGATGTAATATCATCGATATCGGGCGGATATCGGATAATCCGGATAAGTATCGGATATATCCGGATATTTAAAAACGGATATTATCCGGATATTATTTAAACGATCTTGGATGGAGAAATGATCAAAATAAAAATTGTAGATCTCAAAAAGTTATGAAACTTTGTTGTTTACAACTTTTTCGTTTGAAATCATTTAGTACTTCAAAATTTAAACCGTCCAAACTTTCTCAAATGGAAAACTAGTTTATAGGCGTTAAAATTTAAAAATCACAAATTTGAACCATCCAAACTATCTCAAATGGAAAGTTGACCAAAACAAAAATTGTAGATCTTGATGAGTTGAACAAACTTGGTATTCAAAACTTTTCAATTTTAAGTCATTTAGAGTTCATAATACTAGAGTCAAAGTATTGTTTTTTCATTTGACCAAATTTGACTTGGTCAAACTTGCTCAAATGAGACACTAAATGATCCCAGATGAAAAAACTCTGAATACCAAGTTTGATCATCTCAGCAAGATCTACAATTGTTACATAGCTTATTTTCCCATTTGAGAAAGTTTTATCAAACACTAGTCACAAATTCTTGAATCTCATAGATTTTTCTGAAACTATGTCACACACTTATGAAATTTGAACTATATTTTGTTCAAACTTTCTCAAATGAAAAAATGGCCTATATAAGGATTGTAGATCTTGATGAGATGAACAAATTTGGTATTCAAAACTTTTCAATTTGAGACAATCTAGGGTTCCGAAAACTAGTTTGTAAAAGTCGAAATTTAAAAATCATAAATTTGAACCATCCAAACTATCTCAAATGGAAAGTTGACCAAAACAACAATTGTATATATTGATGAGTTGAACAAACTTGGTATTCAAAACTTTTCAATTTGAAGTCATTTAGAGTTCATAATACTAGAGTCAAAGTGTTGTTTTTTCATTTGACCAAATTTGACTTGGTCAAACTTGCTCAAATGAGACACTAAATGACCTCAGATGAAAAAACTCTGAATACCAAGTTTGATCATCTCAGCAAGATATACATTTGTTACATAGCTCATTTTCCCATTTGAGAAAGTTTTATCAAACACTAGTCACAAATTCTTGAATCTCATATAGACTTTCTGAAACTATGTCACACACTTATGAAATTTGAACTACATTTTGTTCAAACTTTCTTAAATGAAAAAATAGCTTATATAAGGATTGTAGATCTTGATGAGCTGAACAAACTTGGTATTCAAAACTTTTCAATTGGAGACAATCTAGGATTCCGAAAACTAGTTTATAAGCATCAAAATTTAAAAATCACAAATTTGAACCTTCCAAACTATCTCAAATGGAAAGTTGACCAAAACAAGAATTGTAGATCTTGATGAGTTGAACAAACTTGGTATTCAAAACTTTTCAATTTGAAGTCATTTAGAGTTCATAATACTAGAGTCAAAGTGTTGTTTTTTCATTGACCAAATTTGACTTGGTCAAACTTGCTCAAATGAGACACTAAATGACCTCAGATGAAAAAACTCTGAATACCAAGTTTGATCCTCTCAGCAAGATCTATAATTGTTACATAGCTCATTTTCCCATTTGAGAAAGTTTTATCAAACACTAGTCACAAATTCTTAAATCTCATACAGACTTTCTAAAACTATGTCACACACTTGTGAAAATTTAAACTACATTTTGTTCAAACTTTCTCAAATGAAAAAATGCCTATATAAGGATTGTAGATCTTGAATCCATGACCATGACTCCATGAGACCCATGAAGCAATGAGCTTGGCTATTTCTACTCATGCCGCGAAGATTGGTGCTTGTATGATGTTTGATGTATGATGTATCTGTATCTTTATCTTATTTGTTGCTTTACTCTTTAGTCTTTCGGCTTAATCTAGATGGATTATGGACTCATAGAGTGGTGTAATGGTTTATTGTCGTATGATATATATATATATATATATGCTGCTTTTACTCAATATCCGAATAGATATTTGTATCCGACCTTCTCCGAATCCGATTCATACCGTATTCGATACTTATTATTCGTATCCGTAACCGAGTCAATCCATATTCGTATATGTATCCGAACGCTATCCGTGTCGGAATCCGAATCCGAACAAAAATATGAAAACAAATATAATATGAGTGATATCCGTTCGTATCCGATCCGTTTTCATCACTAGCTGTAGCCTATAATATCCTTGGTGTTGTGCTGACGAGGTTGGTCTCATCGACCTTATTCTTCTTCTGGTTCTTTTTTTTTTTTGGACTTGCTTCTGTCTTTCATTATTGTGCTTGCTCAACTGCCAATTATCTCTTGACAGTTGACACGTACAGGCAAACCAGTCACTACAGAATACGTGGCTGGTTCGATTTCGTTATCGAGACGGAAAAGATATGTGGCTCAGTTGCTTCTCGTGGGGAACCATCCAAATTAACTCATTTAGACTGAGCTATAAATCACATTGTTTTCATAGTTTATTGCACAGCGAAAGGTCTAAACATCGTGCACTATACGTATCACTACATATAAGATAGAGTAATATAAAATGCACCATGGAACACTGCAAGCAACGATTATGGATCAGTGAGATTGAGAGTGAGTAGTGGCTGAGTGCTACCTAATTTGGTAGTGGTTTGGTTGCAGCCACGCTACTCAATTTAAGTCCATCCAGGGATCTCAGTGTGCATGCTCAACTGCCAATAATCTCTGACACGTAGAGGCAAACCACTCACTACTGAATGCGTGGTTATTTGATTTTGCTCTCACGGAAAAGATAAATATGGCCTATTTGGTAGGTTTCCAGAGCAACCAACTTACGGGTTGAATTTAGGAGAAATTCTGATGAATAGTTTTTTTATTGATAAGTGATTTTGTACTGACTTTTTTTTCAAATAGAATAGAGGATTGGAAGGTGAAAAAATAGTTTCTCTTGATTCACTTCATGTATAGAGTCATTGTATGCCCTAAAGAATCATTTCAAATAGGAAATCACTTTTATTAGAAAATCAGCTTTCCTAGAAAATCTAGAGCAAGAGAAGCTCTAAAACATGTACTCAGTTATTTGGGCAACTCCAATGCAAAGGGCCAATCCTGATCTTATAAAAAACGGTCATAATGCATAGAACCATAGGCTCGATCTATAAATGGGGGGCCAATAATAAGGGGACAATGAAAAGGACAAAAGATAATCTATTATTTATCTTATAGGACCATATTCTATGAAAAAAGCAGGTTCTCCATGGATTCATACCTACGGTGCAAAGAAATTGGTTCCGTCCATAAAGAAGCGGCTTAGTACCTCACATCGTGGGCACACTGCACAAACATGCAACACTCCGCCGATGTCCCCGCATTCTTTGTGATATGTGTCACAGCAGGCCCCGTCTTCTTTGCGATATGTGTCACAACTGGTGCATGATGTCCATGTCTTATGTGTGATATGGGGTCATGCACGGACGTCTTACGTTCATACAACTTTTTTCATAAGATGTTCAAATAGAGAAAAACATGATTAGAGTTGGTCTATTTCAACTTCTTTGTTTTAGTACAAACGAAGCCATAGGAAGAAGTATGATTAGAAAAACTTGCAGAAAATCTTGTCAATTGGTTTATAGTTTGAATTTATTTTGACTATAAACAACTTATAAGCTATATCAAATAGATGTGATATGGACCTTTTTGTTGTGCTTATTTCTCCCTTTTGTGTAAGAGTCGGTGTATCACTCACTGTACTCTGGATGTGGGTTGCAGAACATGGATAAATGCAAAGAGCAAATAAATGTGGCGGGCCACGTGCGAGCCCAAATGTTGGCCCAGGCATGAACAGTCATACCTTCGCCTTTAGCCTCGACTTCACCTTTAGTCCCTCCTGACCTTGCTCTTAGAGCATCTCCAGCAAGGCCCTCAAACAAGCTCCTAAAGTAAAATTTGAGAACTCGCATAAAAAGCACTAGTCCAGAAGAGCCGCTACTTGAGCCCTCAAAATCAGGAGGCCCTCAAAACTGCCTCCACGGCTCTCATTCTCGCGGGCATCTCCCCTAGGTATGAAATGGTGGTTGACAGGTTTATTACAGCTAAAATTTTTATTGGGATTGGGGGCTGAGGGGGCTCCATGGGTGCGGTCGCGGTAGGGGGGCTTGAGCTCCCCTAACCCCCCAGTGGAAAATCCGCCCTTGCATATAGCAAAAGGTGAGATGACAGTCGTCCTCTTCAGACTGCCCTTTCATGACAATCAAATTTTCAGCTTGGATTTGTGATGACTATGCCTATGGTTATGGAAGCTGTACTTGAAAAATATTTTTTTCAAGCAATTAGTGTTTTCTTTGTCATGAATCTGCATTGCTATGGTATTTTTTCGATGTTCTTGCTTGGAACAAAGGCAAATTACTCTGGAAGGATGCGACTTCAAGAAGGTGGGTACCTGAAGATGCTTGGTTGTCACTCATGTGAAATTCACAGAGAATTATAGGATTTATTCACGAAGCCACTTTGTTAAAGGAATTGAAATAAAAATTTTGCTCATCATATAACATATATGTTTGGCCAATCTTTTGGTCCATATATTGCCACGCTTTCCATGTGGTTTCTTTCATTGTCATTGCCCTTTGGGCCCTTTACATTCAACCCATCAGGCTTTGAATGTACAAAATTGATTAATGACCGGTGGCTCAGG